GGGTCCTGGGGGCTTACCACAGGCTCGTGGGGACTAAGCTGCCAATTCCCTGTTCCTATTGGAGATCTCAGAGTGTACCTCAGGGTGCAGCATGATCCTTTAGCACAGAGAAAAGGTCTGGGATACGCAGTTTGGTCAGGATGTATTTCACCCTCTGCATGTTCAGATTACAACAGCATAGCTTAGATTTTTGGCCCAGGATGACTGCTTATCCTCTGTACTGTCTTGATTTCCTGTTGAATGAAGTAGAAACAGTACCCTTTCCCACCTGCCCAGCTGCATCAGAAAAGGGACCATGTGGTGACCAGACATTCAGTAGGCATTCCTGGAGTTCCCAAAAGTCTCACTCAGGAACAGTTCCCAGGGGATTGTGGAACTACAGGGAAGTCTAGGAAATGGCTAGGGGCCCAGCACTGTAGCCTAGTGGCTAAATCCTCACCTTGCACATGCCAGGATCACATATGGGTACTGGTTCATGCCCTGGCAGCTCCACTTCCCAACCAGCTCCCTGTTTGTGACCTGGGAAAGCAGTCGAGGATGGCCCAAAGCCTAGGGACCCTGCACCTGCATGGGAGACCCAGAAGAGGCTCCAGGCTCCTGACTTTGGATTGGCTCAGCTCCAGCCATTGCAGCCACTTGGAGAGTGGATCAGCAGATGGATGATCTTTCTCTGTCTTTCCTTCACTCTGTAAATCTGCCTTTCCAATAAAAATAAATAAATCTTTAAAAAAAAAAAAAGTGGCTGGATATCTGTACTAACCTCAGCTATTCCAAAAATTCCAGGGCAGGTCTGGGCATGCCTGCCAGGCAAAGTAGCTCACACCACCTGGGACCCTCAGTGAACCTGAACATGACCTGGATGTCGGGAGTGGGTGGGAGGGGCATTGCCTGTGAGGTATAAGTGTTCCCACTAGCAACCCTAGCAACCACGAACCCACCTTGGCTAGTGGGGATTCAGGTGACCCTCCTGATCCCTGTACACAGGGCCAAGGTACCCCTCAGACCGCCCCACCTCCTGCCCACAGGCCTGGAAGGGTTAAACAGTTCTACTGAGACCCTCCAGATCACATATGTGGGTTTTGAGCTGGAAGCTCCAGGGAGGTGAACCTGAGGCTGACTTTTGTGGTGCCCTTTGACCCTCATCAGTCCTACCAAGAAGCATCAAAATCACTCACCAAGGTGCAAGGTACTGTCCCCCATGTTGTAGACTCAGCCAGGGTTTAGTGAGAAGAGGATGAGGTAGAGACGGATGAGGTAGAGGCGGATGAGGTGAAGGAGAAGGGGTAGTGGAAGGAGCCGGCCAGGTCTGAGGGATCTGGCTGGCTGCAGCTAACGTGGCTGCAGGACCTCCAGTCCCCCTGCGAGAGGCCGAGGCGGGGCCAGAGGCTGGCTCAGCTCGGCCTGCCCACTGGTCCAGACTGATCCCTGGGATGCAGTCCAGGCTATGGGGAGACAGAGCCTTCCAAGATCAGGCCAAGAGGGATGCTGGCTCCTGCTCTAACTACCTGAACAAGACCAGGAAGAGGGCAGACGAGGGCATGTCAGGGCATTCACACAGCTGTCATACCCAAAAGTTCCATGACACCCAGCAGCCTATGCCATTGTCCTGTGCCATCTCCACAAGCACAGCAAAGCACAGCAGTCACTCACAACATACAAACATCTGGCAGGGGTCAGACCCCAGTCAAGGCACCATCACAGATGGCTCCAAGGTCAAGAGCACAGCACTTGACACACATCCCAAACACATTTCCCACACATCTCTGTCACGGAGGGCCCAACACCATAGGCAATGGTCACACTATCACCCTTTATCGCCGACACGCCTGCAGGAAACAGAGACCATGAGTACGCCCTGACCCCTAACCAGTCTCCACCTACTGATACCCTCAATGACACACCTGCACATGCCAAGCCTTTTTGTATACATATAAGACATGTGTATGCCACTCCCCACAGACACATGTTCTTGGCAGTGTTGTACTCCAAGAGTAGGCCCTTGGCAAGGACAACCCTCTCAACACGCACCCCTGTTCTGGGGTAAGAAATGGAGGATGGGGTCTGGGAGACAGAGACCCCTGGGAAGAAGGGGCTTCACTCAACTCTGCCTGAATTCCTGGGCACTGGAATTCCTGGCCGGAGTTTGAAACCCCCTAGTACAAGTGACATAACATCCACGCCTCAGTTCCTGCCTTCCTTCTCGGGAGCAACAATGCCTGTCCCCCCTGGGCAGGCTGGAAGAGTAAAATCAGTCACTGTCCCATAAAGAGACCCTCAGGAGTCAACACCCCGCCCCCCACCCGGAGCGCCTCTCAAGGCCCACTCATCTCTCTCCCCACGTAGAGCCGAGGTGACAAGAGGATGGGGGAAAGTTTACAGAAGATGAAGCGGAGTTGAGCCGTGTGCCGAGAGCCGGCCGGGCGGCCCCGCTGCCTGGGCCTTCCCGGGCGGCCACGTCTGCAACCCCCGCCCGTGGCCCACAGGGGAGGAGCTGAGTGGGGAGGACGTCCCGGCCCGAGCGCCCGGGACCAAAAAAAAAAAAAGATCGTGTCTGTGCGCGAGGGGCGGGGGGAAGAGAAGGGAGGACGGGCGGCATCGGCGGCGTGGCAGATCGGGAGAAGTTGAAGCGTCGACGTGCGAGAAGCGTCGGGAAAGCGCGAAGTCGCGGAGCATGTGCGGGCTCCGGCCTGCGCCGCCGGCCCCCGCTGCCCGCTACAACCCTCCCCTGCCCGGCCCCGGACGTGCCCTCACCGTCCGGGTCCTCCCGCTCGGCGCGCTCGCCGTAGTCCACCCAGCTGAGCCCCTCGAGGTTGTCATAGTCGCCGCGTCGCGGCCCGTCGACCGGCACCACGGTGAAGTGCGGCATCGCGCGCTCGGCCCCGCCGTGCCCGCCGCGCCCGCCGCCGTCCCCGCCGCCCCGGGCCGGCGCGCCCCGCCCGCTCGCATTCCTCCCCGCTGCGCTCACTTCCTCCGCCCGCCCCCCGGGCCGCCCCTCGGGGGCGGGGAGCAGGAGGGGCTCGGGGCGGCTCCTCCCCGAGCGGGGGGCCCCCCGGGCCCGGGGAAGACCCTCGTGTGGGAGTCAGGAGCTCCACGCCTCGGGAAAGCACTGGATTCCTGTGTGGCTTTGAGTGAGGGGCTGCCCTCTCTGAGTTCCACGTGCAGCAGTTGCAAAATGGAGGTGGGAAGGGACGGGAAAGGTTGCCCCCCTCTAGGGCCTAAATAATGGCCGGGTAAGACCAGGCACGGGGTGTCCTGGCTCTGCGCCCAGAGCCTCTTGAGTGCCCGAGGACATTTTCGTGACTCAGACAGGGGTGGAGGAGGCAAGCCCGCAGGGGCCACCCCAGTCTTGCCAACGGCTTCCCGCCAACCCTGAAGCCACCTCCCCTGTGGCCGTCATTTCATCATTTCGGTAGTAGGTGCTTCCATGTGTCTCTCCAGCCCAGGGCCGCTGGCTGCCTGCCCGGCGCCCACCCCCACCCGGTCACCGGCTCTCGCATCCGGGGCGGCTGGGGGATGCCAGCCTTCTTGGGGACAAGACATGAGGTGCTTTACCTCGCGATCAATGACTTTGTCTTTTCCTGCCTCACTTCAAGAAATTCCTGTACCCAACCACGGGCTTATTTGCTCAGAGCTTTTCTTTCACTTTCCATGCCACTGCTTCAGATAACTTATCTTTCCTTGGGCAGCCTTATCACTCTGGACCTCCCCACCTCTATCAGAAAACCCCAGGGCCACTTTCCTTACTTGTTGGTCTTCATTTTCCGTTTTATGACCCTGCAGGTGGCTGGGCTCCTTAAGGTCACCTCAGGCCAAGCCAGCCCCAGGCGACCGGCCCGGCCCCTCCCCCATGCGGCCCCCAGCACCTCTGGGCCCCCCAGCACTCTTCCCCACCCACCCCTGCTGATTGAACTGAGGCACCCTGCTCCCTCTGGGGGAACACCTTTCTCACTTCTGCCAACACCCGCCTTTACCAACCTACTGTAGGAGGTGTGTGGGTGGGGACCACCACCTCCTCAGAAGACTTCTTATTACCACCCCCACTCTCCCACGGACTTATGCTGCGCTCTTCTGAGAAGGCACTTTCCCTCCTTGAGGCAAAACCCCTTAAGACAAAACTGGGTCTCTCTCATCAGGGCCAATGGGCTGTGGACTTCACAATGAAAAAAATATACATATATTTTAAAGATGTATTTATTTATTTATTTTTGGAAAGGCAGATATACAGAAAGGAAGAGAGACAGAGAGGAAGATCTTCCACCTGTTGATTCACTCCCCAAGTGGCCTCAATGGCCAGTGCTGCACCCATCCGAAGCCAGGAGTCTCTTCTGGGTTTCCCACATGGTTGCAAGGGTCCCAAGGATTCCCAGGAGCTTCTTCAGGGCCCCACAGGCCCAATGGAGTTCAGACCTTCCACTGCCTTCCAAGGTTGCAGGGAGCTGGGTTGGAAGTGCAGCAACTAGGACTAAAACTGATAGTGCCCAAACCCACTGCACCAGCCCGGGTAGTCCCTGGTGCCCACTTGGGACACCTAGGCTGAGTTTCTAGCTGTTGGTTTCAACCACCTGGTCACTGTAAGTATTTAGGAGATGAACCAGCAGATGGGAGCTTGTATTCTCTCTGCTTCTTAAAATTTATTTAACAACCTTTCAGAGAAAGAATGGGACCCATTCCCAGTCACATTCTCTGATGGAAATGACAGTAAACTTGATTTCTGTGTACTTCTGTGTAGGTTTAGGCTTTCAGTGATAAGGCCCCTGTGTTCCTCCAGACACAGCTAACAGAAAAGGCAAGTGGGAACTGCAAATCTGTATGGGCTGGGGCCAGGTCCAAAACCCCTCACCAACTGAGAGCCCACAGGACCCTGGCAGAAGGAAGAAAAAAACGCTCCTACCTAGCTCCAGGCTTGCAATATTTATTCTCAGCATATGCTTGTGTCTAGACAAGTAGGAGGGGGACTTGGTGGGACTTGGCTACCAGGACCTCTGGGGAGACAGGTCAGGTCACAAGAGCGACAGGACGAGAAATGGCAGGGAGGTAGCAGTCACAAGGCCTAGCATGAAGTGTGTGGAGGCTCTTGAGGGACTCTGCAGCATCTGACTGGACGGGGGCTCAGTCATCTCCAGCTGTGGACCCACATGCTTGTTCTGAGACTGCGGCATGAGGTGGGGGTGGCAGGGCCTGACCTGACGCCTGTCTGGGAACTCAGCCTCCCCGGGCCTCTGTCCTCTTCTTGCCTCGCTCACCTGTGGAAGGAAGTCCGCAGTTGCATACTACCGATCATAGTAGCTCCCTTACCTACTGACACCGCCGGCACATCCTTTGCCCAGCCCAACATACCTGTTCCACTTGGCTGAAGACCCGTAGCAGGTTTCCACGGAGCACACCTTGGAGCTCTTCCTCACTCCAGCCCCGCCTCAGCAACTCCTCTATCAGCACTGGGTACTTAGACACATCCTCCAGCCCCTGGGGGAACCTGTGTGGGTTCCCCTGGCCTGTTTAGCCTTAATTCTGGTGTAGGGCCCACTGTTCTACCAGCCCCCATCGCTTATGGGAAACTAAAAGTTCTGGGGGCCAGTGAATGCAGCTCTAGGAGCTTGCAGTGTCTGCAGGCTCTTCCTGATTGAGTGTGTGCTTGGCCCACCAGGGGATTGTGGCCCTGAGGGGCTCAGGGTGGAACCTGGGCTGGGCAGATGAGCTCTCCTCAGGGGGACAGGCATGCTGAGTGACTATAATGGCCTAGAGTGGACCCACTAAGATACAGGTGGGCCTTACAAATAAGCCTTGGGAGTGGAGGATGTGGCCAGACTCTCAAGGAGAGGAGAACTTGGTGGGGGGAGTGGAAGAGGGAACATTTATTTATAGAAGCCCCTGATGTGCCCCTCCCCACGACAAACCCTGGGGAACCACTTACCGGCCGGACCCATCATAATTCCCACCAATCCCGATGAACTCCGATCCAATGACTGATCTGATGTGGTCAAAGTGATCTGGGGTGGAATGGAGTGGAGTAAAAGGTAGGAGAGGACAGGCTGGATTTAGACTGTGGGACTAGTCCTGGTCAGTTTCCCCACGGACACCTACAGCTCTCCTGGTTATGGTAGCTGACTCCATGAATCCTGATGTGACTCCAGGCTAACCTAGGGTGAACCTTGGGAGTTTTTCCTGCCTTTGGGTTCTTCAGAACCTTGGGGAACATCTGTTTGTCCTGCCGAGTGATGTGAGACAGATGCAAGGCTTAGGAGCAAACACGAGACTCTGAAGCAGGGCATCCCAGCACTCAGTTCAGGGGGCCAAAAAGAGCTGTGTCTACTGTCTGGGCTGTCGGGAGGGGTGTACTTTGCCCAAGGTGTGTGCTAAACTGGTGGAGCTGTCTGAAGGCCTGGGTGGCCCTTGTCCAGCCAGGGCTGCACAAAGACAAAGGTGGGGCTCACCTGCCACAGTGGACACATTAGCCAACAGGTTGCACTGCAGCACCCCAAAGGAGAGTGTCACCATCACGATGCCACCATTCTTCTTCTAGAGGAAGAGAAGTGGGGAGACTCAGCTTGGCACCCTCTTGCCTTAGCCCCTCATTCAGCCAGCGAACCCACCTATGATGTGGGGATTCTACCTCACTGGATTTCCAGGTCCCTAGGTTTAGCCTCAAGTTGAAGAGATGGAGGAGGAAAAATCAGCTTTATTCATGGTCAAGAGTCTTTGGATGTGGCCTAGTATGATGGTACAATTGACTAATCCTCCCCCTACAAGGACCAGGATTCCATATAGGCACTGGTTTGTGTCCCGGGCTGCTCTACTTCTCATCCAGCTCTCTAGTTGCAGACTGTTGAGGATAGCCCAAAGCCTTGGGACCCTTCCACCCATGTGGGAGACCTGGAGGGAGCTCCCGGCTTCTGGCTTTGGACTGAGTCAGCCCCAGTCATTGCGGACACTTGAGGAGTAAACCAGCAGACAGAAGATCTTCTTCTGTATCTCTGTTTCTCTCTGCAAATCTGATCTGCCTTTACAATAAAAATAAATCTTTTAAAATAATATAAAATAAAAACAGCATAACATCATTTTCAAAAATGCCTTTTCTCTCTATCTCATCTTCTCTGTAAAATCTGTTTTTCACATAAAAATAAGTAAATCTGGGAAAAAAAATAATCCATATAAGAAGCATATCTGGCCCCGGGCTTGAGCGCTGGGCTTCCTCACCACAAGTTGCAGGATGTCATCGGGGACGTTCAGTAAGTAGTCGCACACAGCCCTGGCAGCCGAGTGGGAGAAGATCACGGGAGCTCCAGAGACCTCCAGGACTCGCCTCACCAAGGTGTCTGACGCGTAGGACAAGTCTACCATCATGCCCAGCCGGTTCATTTCTCCCACCACCGCCTGCAGCAAGAGTCGGGTTTTGGGGAAGAGAGGGATATCAGAAGCATCCAGGTCGGTACACTTTTTCTGTAAGGAACAGCTGGGTGGGGAACAGAACAGGAGCACTCACCTCACCAAAGTTTGTCAGCCCACTGACATTGGTGTAGAAGGGGTGTCTGAACTTGCTGGAACTTTCCGCCCTGCAGGACAGTCAAGGGAGGACAATCAAACTGGCTGAACTTGGAATATCAGAACCTGGGGGTCTCTGTCGGACCATCTAGCCTCACTTCTGGAAGAGATGGGGACCCAGGGCCAGCTACTTTTTGACAGTGTAAGGGGTTACTGGGAATCTATCCTCAATCTCTGGAGCCCTCTCTAGTTGCCAAGGGCTGCAGCAGTTTCCATACCAGGCTGTCGGCCATGGCATCCCAGCCAGGTGCCATGCTCACCAGGGGGTGCTGCAGGTGAAAGTGAGTGTCAGGTAGCGCACTCCAAGCCCATAGAAACTGCGCAGCACAGAGAGGCTGCTGTCCAGGGAGTGGCCACCTTCCACACCGATGAGGCAGGCCAGTTTTTGGGTGCTGTTCAGACCTAGAAAAGGGTAGCAGATCAAGTGGTCAGAGCACACAGGGGCAGTGCCACTTGGGCCCCCACTTCTCCCCTTCCCTGCCAGCCCACCTTGGACTGAGGTCACCAGCTCCAGCTCAGAGAAGGAGGCACAAATGCGACGGACGAGGTCAATCTGCTCCAGGGTGATGCGCAGGGCATCCTGGTCCTGGGTCTCACATGGGGCATTGACTGACCAGAACTGGGGATGCAGGAGGGATCCAGAATGAGCCAATGTACCTCTAATCTCCCAGGCCTGCCACCACTGCCTCAGGCCTCAGAGCACACATCTGGGTCAGTGGCCCCAAGTGATATGCCACATGACTCCCTGGTGTATTAATAACTATTTGGCTTATTACCAACAGCCCAATTGTAGATTCATGACATAGCATGGACTGTTATCTCCACTAAAAATATCAGTGTCCACCACGTCCTTTGTAGTAATCCAAAATCCTCCTATTTTCTGCATGTCTCCACAGAACCTGTTGTCCCCCCCCGCCCCCAGTTCACCTGCCTTGGCTTCTCGTCATGCCCCCCACCCTGCCCCTGCAGGCTGAGCTCCCCAGAACTTACGACAGTATACTCTCAGTCCCTAGTCACCCTGAGGTTGGCCTACTAAGCCTTCTGGGGCCCAACCTTCTCCAGCAGCCATGCAGTGGCGCAGGCTGTCATGTGTGTCCCTTAACGGTACCTGGGCACCCACAAGGCCAGCCCTAAGCCTGTCCAGGCTGGTCTGGCTTTGGCTGAAATTGCGCAGGTTGACATCCTGTAGCATGTTCTGATAACGCTGTCTCAGGAACATAGGCAGCTCGTTGTGACTGAGGGTGGAGACAAAGTCAGGCATGACATATCAACCTTCCTACGTCCACCTTTCCCACCTCACCAAGGTTCTAGTCACCTAGATAAAACAGTGACTCCCTGAGACACCCCCCGCCCCCGCTAAGACAGGAGGGCTCCACCAGGAAGGTGATAAGGGAGGAGCAAGCACCCATGGGTAACAGAGGAGATGACCTCTGAAAGCGGTGTGAGGGAACCTACTCCGCAACCCTGCCGATTCAGAACCCCATTCCCTGCCAGCCGGGCGCTCAGCCTCTACCTGTCTATCCCCAGGCCACACCTACGTACCCATCCACGAGTGGGAAGCTCCGCATCAGGGCTTGTGCACGCTCCTGCAGGCTAAGGGAACTGGGAGTGCTCTGTAAGGTGGTGCTGCTGAGGGTCCCAGGCACAGTCGTGGCATTGGGGGTGCCAAGGATACCGACGGTGCCAAGGGTACCCGGGGAGATTTGGGCACGGGTTACCGGCAGCAGCAGCAGCGTCAGCAGGAACAGCAAACACAGCAGGGGCAGCCGGCAGAACACATGGGGACCCTTAAGGCCCGTGGGCTGCATAGTGCGCAGGACCTGGTCGCAAGAGTCTGGAAAATTGGAAGAACGCAAAAGCAAGAGTTCCAACTGATTCACAGGTGTGGCCTTGCTCGAAAAGGGTTTCAGTCAGGCGACCCTACGAACGACTGCCGGGCTGAATTCCACCCCACGCGCAGCAGCAAGGCCCCCTGCCGGCGTTCAAAGCCGGCGGCTGCTGAAACAGGCAAGCGCCCCCACGGGCTGGGCGGCCCGTGCACGCAGCGTGCGGCTGCGCGTCACGCAACGTGGGCTCCCTCGACTCCGCCCCCCAGCTGCATAGAACCACCGACACGTAAGAGGATCCATGGCCGAACAGGTTAGGAGCAAGCAAAATATTTGTTTTTAGGGCCCAGTGTAAAATATTTTAAAAATATTTTCTTTTTTACCGGCGCGATAGCCTAGCAGCTAATATCCTGGCCTGGCACACGCCAGGATCCCATGTGGGCGCCGGTTCTAATCCCAGTTACTCCACTTCCCATCCAGCTCCCTGCTTGTGGCCTGGGAAAGCAGTAGAGGGCCTTGGGACCCTATACTGTGTGGGAGAACTGGCTGAAGCTCCTGGCTCCTGGCTTCAGATCAGCCCAGCCATTGTGGTTACTTGGAGAGTTTATCGATGGAAGGAAGATCTTCCTCTCTGTCTCTCTTCCTCTCTGTATATCTGCCTTTCCAATAAAAACAAAAAAATATATGGTTTTTGTACCAAAATAAACTTGGCTTTCAAAGTGGTAGGAGACCAGGATGGAGTTCCTGGTTACTAGCTTCAGCTTGGCCTACTCCCAGCTGTTGTGGCCGTTTGGGAGATGGAAGATCTCTCTCTGTGTTACTCTGCCTTTTAAATCAATAGATAAATAAATATAGTCTGGGAATCCCAGACTATACAGATTTGTACCATAAAATTCAATATTTAAAATAAAAATTAAAAAAAGAAAAACAAATAAATATATATACTTTTAAATTTATTACCAGACCACAAGCAGGGAGCTGAAAGGGAAGTGAAGCAGCCAGGATATGAACTGGTTCCTGTATGGGATCCTGGCAGATGCAAGGTGAGGATTTAGGCACTAGACCATCGCACTGGGCCCCTAAATAAATACATCTTTTTAAAAATTATACTGAAAAAAAATGTGTTCTTCCTAGTAACTTAAAAAATTGAGTTAAATACAAAGAAGCATATTCCTGAAAGCAAAATTTGAAAATGTATTTATTTGAGGGGCCAATATGGAGGCTCAACCAGCTAATCCTCTACCTTCAAGTGCCAGCACTTCATGAGGGCACCAGTTCAAGTCCCATCTGCTCCACTTCCCATCCAGCTCCCTGCTTGTGGCCTGGGAAAGCAATCGAGGACGGCCCAAAGCTTTGGGACCCTGCACCCACGTGGGAAAACCAGAAGCAGCTCCTGGCTCCTGGCCTCAGATCAGCTCATTTCAGGCTGTTGTAGCCATCTGGGAAGTGAAGCAGTAAGTGGAAGATCTTTCTCTCTCTTGTTCTCTCTGTAAATTTGCCTTTCCAGCAAAAAATAAATAAGTATATCTAAAAAAATTTTTTAAAGATTTGTTTTATCTGTAATTGGAAAGTCAGAAATACAGACAAGAGAAGAGACAGAGAAGATCTTCTGTCTGTTGATTCACTCCCCAAGTGAGTGCAACGGCCGGTACTGTGCTGATCCGAAGCCAGGATCCAGGAACCTCCTCCAGGTCTCCCTTGAGGGTGCAGAGTCCCAAGGCTTTAGGCTGTCCTAGACTGCTTTCCCAGGCCACAAGCAGGGAGCTGGATGGGAGACGGGGCTGCCAGTATTAGAACTGGTGCCCATAATGGAACCCAGAACATGCAAGGCAAGGACTTTACCTCAAGGTTACTTTAGTGGACCCTAAAAAAAATTTCTTTTGAAAGTTTAAATTGCAGTATGAGAGGAAGAGAGATGGAGGAGATATTCTCCGTATATTGGTTCATTCCCCAGAGGGCTGTAACAACCATGATTGGCCAGGCATAAGTCAGGAGCCGGGAGCTTTATCAAGGTCTCCCACATGGGTGCAGGGGCCCAAGTACTTGGCCATCTTCTACTTTCTAAGGTGCAGTAGCAGGAAGTTAGATCAGAAGTGCAGCAGCCAGATAGGAGTTAGGACTCATTTGGGACTCTTAGTGAAGTTCCTTTTTTTGGTTTGTTTTTAGTTCGTTCTATTTTTTTATTGTTTTGTAATATGAATTCTCTGGTGTGGAATTCCCACATTTATTATAAATGGCTGGTAAACAAAAAAAGTTTTGATTTTATTTTTGATGTTGGTTTACATAGTTGACAAGAATGCAGGCCCATGAGGACCACTGAATAGGATGGGGACGGTCAAAGTATGGGGGAAGGTGGGTTGGACAAATGCTCGGATTCCCCTTTCTCCCCTACCCCCTTGCTTTTATTTTTTGTTTCTTTTTTATGTCCCTACCCCTTTTTAAGATTCATTTATTTATTTATTGAATGTCAGATTTACAGAGGAGAGACAGAAAGATCTCCTATCTGCTGGCTCACTCCCCAAGTGGCTGCAATAGCCAAAGCTGAGCCAATCTGAAGCCAGGAGCTTCTTCCAGGGCTCTTACACAGGTGCAGGGTCCTAAGGCTTTGGGTAGACTTGGGTAGACCTTGACTGCTTTTCCAGGCCATAAGCAGGGAGCTGGATGGGTAAGTGGAGCTGCCAGGACACACACTGGTACCCATATGGGATCCTGATGCATATAAGACAAAGAGTTCAGATACTAGGCTATTGCAACACCCCCACTTTTTTTTTTTTAACATGTTTGGTAGAGTGATAAAGGCGAGATTTTTCATCTACTGGTTCACTTCCCAGATGGCAATAACAGTTGGAGCTGGGCCAGGCTGAAGCCAGGAGCCTAGAACTCCTGGGTCTCCGACATGAGTGACAAGGGCTCAGCCACTTAACCCATCTCCTGCTGCCTCCCAGCATACTCATTAGTAGGAAGCTGGACTTTAGAGGGAAGCCAGAACCTGATCCCAAGCAATCCCCTTATGGGATGTGGGTGTCCCACGCAGTGGTTTAACTGCTGTAACAAGTACCAGCCCCTAACTATCATGTTTATTGTTGTTCCTTAAGTTGATATATTAAAATATGACTACTTTTAAAGATAATCACTTGGGTTTTGCTACTCACATTTTTTACTTTGAAGAGCAGATTTTGGGGTTTTAATTGTGTTGCTATAAATATGATTTAAGATGCCTTTGTGAGCAGATATGAATGCATTACTGTTGGATATATATCTGGGATGAAACTGCATGAGGTATGCAGACTAACAGCATTGTATTATCCATTATTATCATGTTATTATTACTAGCTGTCATTATTAGCATTAGATATTATTATTATTACAGTTGCTATTGGAGGTCATTTATGGTTTGGGGTAAAACAGATGCCTAAGTTGCTTGTGCCTTGGGAGAGAAGTCCCAGAGGGATTGAGCAAGGTACCCACTGTGGGGCCAAGACCTGTTACCTGGCCTGGTATTCTGAGCTCAAAGAGGAATGGAGAGGTGAATCATGGTCCAGGGAGGTTCCTCTCCTGGGAATCCAAAGCAGAATTCCCTGGAAAACCCTAGGAGGTGATCAGTGGATCAGCATGTGGACTGCGATGAACTATTGGGGGTGGGGTGCACAGAATGGGGTCTGCTCCTCTATAGCCAGACCTACTGTCATCGTCCTGTACTGAACCCAAAAACCTGCATCTCCTCAGATCACCAGAGCACACAGAAGCTGCAGTGCAGGGTGCCCTCACCAAGACCAGAGCTGAGAGAAGTTGTGCTAGCAGACCACATTGCAAAGAAGCACACTCATGCTTGGCTTCACATCCAAAATATTTATTTCTAGGAAATGCTTATGTCTTCACAAAGGGGAAGTTTTGCAGGAGCATCTGTAGCTGTCAGTGATATCTGGCAGCACCACATTTGTCAGAGCCACAGAATGAGGATTGCAAAGGTGGCAGTAGCCAGGAGCCCTGAGGCCCTGTGTAGTGGAGATTTGGAGAGTGACACGTTGGATAAGTCTAATGACCAATGTGTTGAAACTTCAGTGGGTCGCTGGTCTGAAAACGCATACTGTCGCCGATGCAGGCGTGGTTGCGAGGAGCGACAGGTGCTCCCCAGCTGTACCTCTGGGAACTTGTCCTCCAGCGGGCTTTGCCATTTGTTTTGCTCCCGTACCTAGAGGTGGCAGCCAGTGGTTAGCAGTTTCCTTGCTACCCCAACCCCTGCTCATAACCCACCACCCAAACTATTCTTACCCACTCTAACATACCTGTTCCACTTGGCTGAAGACCCGTAGCAGGTTTCCACGGAGCACACCTTGGAGCTCTTCCTCACTCCAGCCCCGCCTCAGCAACTCCTCTATCAGCACCGGGTACTTAGACACATCCTCCAGCCCCTGGGGGAAGCTGTGTGGCCACCGACCAGTAGGCTCATGAACCTGAGACCTGATTCCTTGATCCCAACTCACAACCACAACCCTGAGTGTCAAGGGTCCCCTGAACTCTAGTCCTGGTCACTTGTGGGAAATGGAGACTGGTAGGAGAATAAGTAATCCACTGCTGTTCTTCATCCTTTAGAAAGAGGACTTCAAACCTCCTAGAACATTTGCAAAACTCACTGAATTATACTACTAAAATCTATGCTTGCCACTGTATGCAAATATTCTCTACATTTCCCACAAGCCCTGGGAGCTGGGAAATACCAGGTGGGAAAGTCCTAAGGCAGTGAGGATCATCTGGGCATGGTGACTGGGACAGCTCCTTAGCTATGTACCCAACCCTGGATGTACTACAGGAAAACACTCACTTGCTGGTTCCGTCATAATCACCACCAATCCCAATGAACTTGGATCCAATGACTTCTTTGATGTGGTCAAAATGATCTGGGGAAGGATGGAGAATCAGTGGGGCTGCCAGGGCAGGCATCGGCCAGGCACTGGGCTCTGCTGATTGTCCTGCTTGCAGTCTATGAGGTCAGTTCCTCCATGGACCAGCACCCCATGTAGCAGCCACAAAGCTCTGAGCCAAACTGACCAACTGGTTCTATACTGGCCTTGTGATTTGGAGCAGATCCAAAGTCATTTGTTTTGGCCATTTCTCATCCAGGATCCAACCTGCCTCACATCTCTGACAATTTGCAAGGGGCTCTCCTCCAGGGCAGTGGAAGATGAGAGAGAGAGAAAAGAGCACAACTGAGAAAGACTCTAGAGACCTGAGACACTGCCTATCCCTTGGCTAGCAGCAGGCTGGGTGCTTTGGTCGCCCCCTTCAAGAGGAACAGATGGGCAGGACCTGAGGCTTACATCTGAGTTCTTCCCTTATGCCATTACAATCACAGCACTGACCCTGCTGTGGCTCAGGGGGCTGGGAGGGGGCACCGTGATGCTATATTCTGAGCATCAGAGAGCCTGGAGGGAAGACTTACCTGCCACAGTGGACACGTTGGCTAAGAGGTTGCACTGCAGTACCCCTACAGACAAGGACACCATCACGATGCCACCATTCTTCTTCTGCAGAGGTAAACAAATGGACACACTCAGTTTGGCTTCAACCCTTGCCCCAGCATCCCTGCATGCCCTCCTACCCCTAGGGGTCCCAGGAGAGGAAGGTGTTCAACCCTGGCTTTGGACCCTCTAGGTCTGTGAAGAGAAGAAGGTTGGCCATTTTGGCTGGGTCCTCGGTGTGAGGAATAGAGGAATTGGGAACAGTAAACTCCCACTATACTCAATGATTCCAGGACTGTGAGTTTATGGAGCAGAAGAATTTCAGTCTAGGGTTTGCGGAAATTAAGGGAAAAGTGAGTGAGGTTTCAGGGCTGGCTAGTTTCTCACCAGAAGCTGCAAGATGTCATCAGGAACATTCCGAGGATTCTCACATACACTCCTGGCAGCCGAATGGGAGAAGATGACAGGCGCCTGTGACATTTGCAGGACCCGCCGGGCCACAGCATCAGAGACGTGGGACAAGTCTATCATCATGCCCAGGCGGTTCATTTCTGCCACCACCTTCTGCAGAAGCAGATTGGGAGGAGGCTGTCAGGGATACACACGTGTGTCCCTATTTCCGAAGGAAAGCATGGGTGACAGGAAGACAAACAGGGTCCTCACCTCACCAAAGCTGGAGAGTCCACTGACATTGCTGTAGAAGGGGTGGATATCCTTGGTGGAGCTCTCAGCCCTGCAGAAAGGCCAAAAAATACAAGTAGTCTGGCCATGCCTGGCCATCAGAGCTTTGGGTTCCCTCCAAACCCTCTATCCCTCAAAACCCTTCCCCCAGAGCAAAAGCAGGGACTTAGGAGAGGCTGCACATGGCAGTAAGAGTGCCCTGCTGAGGTTTAGGCTTGCTTCTGTGAACCCCGGAATCCCACCTCTCTTCCTCATTCCCGAGTCAGTGCCAGCTGCCAAAGGCACAGCTTGATTTGGGCCCATCATTTGACCGCATGGACATCTCTGCCTCAGTGGATCGGCGCGCACACTGTGCTCACCAGGGGGTGTTGCAGGTGTGGGTGAGCGTCAGGTAGCGCACTCCCAGCACATAGAAACTGCGCAGCACAGAGAGGCTGCTGTCCAGGGAGTGGCCACCCTCCACGCCGATAAGGCAGGCCAATTTCCAGGTGTTGTTCAGGGCTGGAGATGAGAAAGGTTTGATGGTTACTTTCATGGACTGGAGCAACTCAATCGAGTTCTTAACAGCCCCTTGCTGACTGACCCACCTTGGACTGAGGTCACCAGCTCCAGCTCAGAGTAGGAGGCACACATGCGACGAATGAGGTCAATCTGCTCCAGGGTGAGGCGCAGGGCATCCTGGTCCTGGGTCTGGCATGGGACGTAGGCTGACCAGAACTGGGGACAAGGCCAAGGGTTGGCGTGGGCAGAGGCTCCTTGGGAGCACCCAGAGAGCCCAGGGAATACCCTTGATACTCCCACCCCCATGGTGGCCCCTGCAAGCTCCAGAACCCACATCATGGCATTATGCGGGCCATGATGACAGCCAAGTTTCCAAGTAACTAGTGTGCTCTCTGGGCCCTCCACTCTCTTCCACTCTCCCTGGTGTGTTCCCCATGGTACCTGGGCACCCACAAAACCGTCTCTAAGCTTTTCCAGGTTGGTGTGGCCATGACTGAAGTTCCGCAAGTTGATTTCCTGTAGCCCTTTTGAGGAAACTTTTCTCAAGATAAGGGGCAGGTCATTGTGGCTGTAGGAAATGTTAAAGACAGAGTCAGAAGGTGGGGGGGAGTGGGTGTGTCCCTCAGACCTCCAGGCCAGGTAAGACAATTGGAAATACCCCACTACATCCTGCCCACAGACTCCACTAAGACACTCTGAGGCCTTAACTGGGGGCTTCCACCCAAGAAGTAATTGGTAGAGAAGGGAAAGGACACCCAGGGGTGTTGGGAGGGGGCCTCCTCACTGGCTGGGCATCCCCGGGGGTGCTCTCAGTCCTCCCACTTGCCCTAATGCAGCATCTACCCACCCATCCACAAGTGGGAAGTCCCGCATCAAGGCCCGTGCCCGCTCTTCAAGGGCCCGGGAGCTGGGGGTACCCAGCGTCGTTGAGGCGCTACGGGCGCCTGGCGTGGATGTGGTGCCCGGGGCGCCCCTGGTGGTGGGCCCGCCAGGGGTGCTGGGTGAAGTCTGAGCGCGGGTTATGGGCTGCGGTAGGAGCAGCAGCAGCAGGAGCAGAAACAGCTGAGGCGGACGAGGCCACCAGCCGAGCAAATGGGGACCTTCGAAGCCCGCGGGTGGCATCGTGCACGGATCCGGGCAGACGTGCTGATCGCTGGAGCCTGAGGATAGAGATGGGTGAGGGGCAGAAGGCCCCGGCAGAGTTCCGTCCGTCCTTTCCTCTCAGCTGCTCAGCTGCTCAGGTGCACTGCCGAAAATTGGGAGGGAAGGAAGTTACGGGAACTTGCAAAGGCACGCCAGGAGTCCCCACGCGTCAGGGCGTGGCTCGACCGCAGGAGGCTTTCCGCCTTCCTTGCTAAGAACGCCCCTGCCCCCGGCCTCCCTCCGTCCCCACTCGTCCCTCAGCTGGCGCCGTCGCCTCCCATTAGCCCAAACTCTAAGTTGGAGAGAGGGTGCTTCTTCTCGGGAGTGGCCCTCCATCCTGGGGCCACTGCGTCCCTGCTTCCCTGGAGCCCACCCCGGCCCCGGGAGGGCCGCCATGCGGCGCTCTGGGTTCCGGTTTCCAGGGGTCTCGGTAGTGTGTGGGGGAGGGAACAGTATCTGGAAATAAGAGGTGAATTTGAATGCGGGAAACCGGCCACCACTCCTTCCTGAGCGCTCATGCTTGTCTTATCCTGCCTGCCATGTCCATTCCCAGACGCCAGTGGTCCTCACTGGGAACTGCTAGGAACATGGGTCCCCCAACTGTCTGGTCAGCCTCAGGGAAAAGTTCCCCAGGGCCGGAATGGAGAGAGAACTGATAAAGCATACAGCAAGGTTATTAGATGGAAGAAATGGAGTGCTTTCCAGAAGGGCAGACCCCTCCACCCCAGAGCTGCTGGTTGAGCTGCTACCGGCTTCCCTCTCTCCCACCTTAACGTGGAAGCCAGGTAAGAAGGTGGACCCCACCTCAGCTAGTCCACATCTCAAACCCACCTGGATTGGAGAAGCTGCAGCACTCCCGTCCTGTCTGCACCTGCACCTCCTTGACCCCCAACAGTAAACCAGACTGCTCCGTCAAAAAAAAGGGGGTGGACCCCAAGGAGGGGCCTGGCACCTGGATTCTGTGCCTCCTCCCTTTCTCCCTCTTATCTCATAACTCTTGTGACTGGTTAACTCTCCCCCCCTCCTTTTTTTTTTTTTTTGCCTAGAGGCCCCACCTCCTTCACATCAGCAGGCTAGTGGCTTCATCCAGGACTCTCCCCCAACCCTCCTACCCCACACCCACACAATAGGTTCCCATGCCTGTGAGTATATTCATAAGGAAATAGCCCAACCTTCCAAGCTTCCTCCCCAGAGATATCTCCAAGCTTTACTTGCAGCTTTGCTTTGGCACCCTTGTGGGGTTGCTTCCCACATTTGGAACCTTCCCCTGGGGTGTGTGTACAGTGAGGGGCAGAAAACTTAGCAGTGCCAGGTGGTGACCTAAGTCTGAGAACTGGAGGTGCCAGAAGGCCCTCAACCAGAGAAACAAGAAGTAAGGGGACTGGAGCTTCATGCCAGAGGAGGTGTTCCCAGCTGGGGTGCTGGTCAGGGACTGTGCACTTGATGGTGCCCAGGGTTTGCTGTTCTGCCGGAGGAAAAATCAATAGCCGTGAGCTTGAGGGGAGATCCATTACACAGCATGAATTCCTCCTGGTGCTGGGTGCTGCTTCTCACAACGGTAGGGTGTGTTCTGCCCTGGGTGGTTAGGGTGCCCAACCCTGATAAGGCTGTCTTCCTTCCTCCTGCCCACCCCACAGTCTGATGCTGCCCAGCAGCAAGAAAAAGGAGGATCTTTTGGGTTTGTTGGTCTCCAGATCAAAGATGTGGGCTTGTTCCAGTCCTGGAAGCCTTTGGGAAGTAGACAGTGTACGGAACAGAGTAGAAGTGGGTGGGAATCATTAAGCAATAGCTTATTGAGAGGAGTGGGTGGGGAGGGCTGAGCTTCTCAAAGTATTTTGGCTCTCTCTGAGGGCTAGCTGGCTGATACTACAGGGCTTGGAGCAAACTCTTCCCCTAGCAGAAGCAAGCTGTGTTGAGCCAGTGGAGGTGGCTGCCATCTCTATAGAAGACAAGCCAGGGCCCAGCACTTTGGCCTAATTAGTTAATTCTTTCCCTGCAAGACCATTCAGCTCCTTGCTGGTGACATCAGAAAGCATATCTTTAGGACCTTGTACTTGTGTGGGAGACCAGGAAAAGCCCCTGGCATCTGGCTTTGAATCAGCTCATCTCTGGCTGTTGCAGCTACTTGGGGAGTGAGCCAGCAGATGGAAGATCATTCCTCTTTATAAATCTGCTTTTCCAAACAAAATAAATAAATCTTTAAAAAAAAAAAAGAGTAAAAGATTAGCCAAGCAAAACAGGCTTTGCATAACATCCAACCTCAATCCTTAAACTTCAGGCATGAGATGTCCACACAAAACCAGGAAAATAGAATATGCCCAGACCCTTTTACACTTAAGAGTATATGGACACTCACAGTGGTGAGCCAGTTTTGGCCAGCAAGGTATCTCTTGTGCTCTTAACCTCCCTAGAAGCCTCTCCTCTCTTCCCTGCCTCTTGCAGGGATTAAACAAGGCCATGCTAGTGAAATATTGGCATAAGAGCCCCCAGTGATGCAGATTGGGGACAGGGAGTTTGTGGGTACAGGCATGATGGAAGTCATCTAGATGCCTGCAGTGACAGAAGTGGAAGTGGAGGGTAGAAGTGAGAAAGTCACAGCGCCTGACCTAAGCACTGGTCTTGGTGCCTTCTCACCATCCCCTCTCTCTCTCTCCATGCCATCTCCAAATCCTGCCACTTCCATCTCCCAACATTTCCAGGTGTGCCTCCTCCCCTTTGTTCTTACTGCCTCTTCCCCAGCACCGACTCCCTTCCTCTTTCATTTCTGACCTGGCCTCATAGTCTGTCCTCTGCTGAGAAGCTATATCTGTCCCTCTTTTAAAACAGGTGGTGTCATCTTCCTGCCTCAAATTTTGCCACTTCCCGTTGCTCTTAATATAATAAATTTCTCTCTTTGGCTTTCAAGTGCTGTGGAGTCTGTTCCCAACAGGCTTTCAACTTCAACAAATAGCCAATCCACTTCGTCCTCTCAACTAGCAACACCAGCCATGCTGCTTCCCTGCCACAAGACCTTAGCACAAGCTAATCCCCACTCTCCAATTGGTTGTTGAGGCAGTCCTGAGACAAGAAATCTTGCCATCAAGAAGAGGATAGATGAATTAGCAGCCTTTTTTTTTTTTTTTTTTCAGAGGAAGCAGTAGTAGAGACAGTTGCCTTCCAGGATCAACCTGATTCTGCCGTAGAGCTGGTCTCCAGTGTATGGCAAGAATATACCGGTAAGTAAGAAGTTGGTGAGTTACAGGCATGCAAGCTCATTTTGCTTTTGTAGTGCAGGAATGGGGTGCGGAGGCCATTTAGTTGATATCTAACTAGCTGTGCGATGCTCAGTCTCCATTCACAGCCTTCTGATTCTGCTGCTGCTTCCTGGGTGTGGCTGTCGATCTGTTCCCCTGATGATGGTGACACTCAAGTTCCCCTAAAACAACTGTCCCCTGCAGCCACAGGGCTAAAGTCACACTTACTAATGTGGCAAAGGGGCAGTACAATTTTCTTCTTTAAAAGATAGCCAGTTTTCTCTTTTCTTCTTTTCAGGATTATTTGTTTGAAATGCAAAGTGACATATGCAAAGAGAGAGAATGAGAAAGAGAGGGAGAGAAAGAGAGAGCTTGATCTTCCATCCACTGGTTCATTCCTCAGATCACTGTAGCAGTCAGGCTGGGCCAATCTGAATCCAGGAGCCCAGTACTCCATTTGGGCTTTCCAAGTGGGTGGCTGGTGCCCAGGTACTCAGACCATTTTCTGCTGTGTTTCCAGTCTTATTAGCAGGGAGCTGGATCAGAAGCTGAGTGGTTGGGGCTCAAGCTAGAGCTGTGATAGGAGATGCTGGAATCACAAGCAGCAGCTCACCCATAGGTGCTAACCATAGGGTTTTTTTTTTGCTGGGAGAAACACATAATCATTTATGCCATCTCCTGCTGCCGTCCAGACTTTTTGCTTCCCACCTTTCTTTTCTGTCTTTTCTTTTCTGTAAGTCTCTCTGTCTTACATCCGGAACTGCTTTTTTTTTTTTTTTTTTCTGTAAATGAAGATGCATAACGATATAGGTCTGGTCTGCACTGCTGGTTGTTTGCCTTTTATAGGCAAGTTCTGCTGATTTTAGGCAGTATAGAAGTTCCAATATATAAGATGCCCAGAACAAAGCTACATATGGTATTAGACAAGTATCTGTCTGGGCTGATTTTGGGACCAGAGGTTCTAATAAGTTCTAGAGGCTTGGCATCTTTGTCCTGATGGGTTTGTGTGCTGTCCTGTGTTTTTGAGGTTGAGCCATCAGTTAAGGGTAGAAGGTGAAGCTGGGAGCTTAGTCCACAAGATGTTCAAGACTGTCCCTGGGATTCAAGTGGTGACAGTGGCTTGGAGAGGGGAGGCACGTCATGAAGAAGTCTGCCAAATCCAAATCTTGCCTAGAAGCTTATAGTCTTTAATGACAGGGACCTTGGAGGAGAGGGTTGGTGTTAATGGTTTAGCAAGGAAAGCTGCTCTCTGTTCTACCAGACAGAATATGGGTGCTGGTTTGTGTTCCAGCTGCTCCATCTCTGATCCAGCTCTCTGCTAAAGGCATGGGAAGGTTTTTAGCAGCCCCATTTTTTTTTAAACATTTACTTTGTTTTTGTTGAAAAAGTTATAGAGAGGCAGACACAGAGGCAGAGAGAGAGAAGACAAGCCTGAGACAGGTAGAAGCCAGGAGCTTCATCTGGGTTTCCCACGTGAGTGGTAGCAGCCCAAGCACTTGGGTCATCATCTGCTGCTTTCCCAGGTGCTTTAGTAGGGAGCTGGATCAGAAATGGAGCAGCCGGAACTCAAAGCAGGGACCATATGGACGCTGGTGCTACCTGCAATGCTTTACTGGCTATGCCATAGCACCGCCCCTGTAGCCCCATTTTGTAAGTGAGCAAACTGAACTGCTAAGTGGAAAAATGATTACAGACTAGCCTCCTGTTGAAGTCAGATGGGTGATCCATGAACTGCCCCAAATCCAGCTGCTGCCTCCCTCATCAGGAAAGACTTTAGATCCCTATGTTCAAACATTCTCTACAGGTTCTGAAAAGGAAGAGCTGTAGGGGCACTGGGCTGCAGGAGCCGTTCCTGACCAAGCAAATGTCTGCCTGCTGCATGGCACATATGATTTCATAGCAAGTTCAGACTTGCTGTCTCTGCCCAGCCTTGCCTGTTCATCTCCTAGGCTGTCAGAGCTGTGTCGGCAACAATGTGCTGTTTACAGCATAATCTGCTCTGTGGTACAAAATGCCCGGCTGCCTGGCTGGCCTGGCTTCCACAAGCTGCCTGACCCTGGAAAGCTGATCAGCTGATCTCACACTGATTCCAAATCTGGGTGACCATGAGGTTATCCTTGAAAAGTATTTATTTATATTAGAGAAAACTTCAAGCACATAGATAAGTGGAGAGATGAGTCTACTGAACTCCCATGTAGCCATTATCTTCAACACATGGGCTCTCTTGTGTCATCTGTACCCTCATTCAGTCTTTTCTGCAGTTAACTTTATCCTTATCCACCCTTTTCTGCAATTATTTTAATATAAGTCACAGAAATTTTTTCCGTATTTAGGTATATCTCTTTAAAAGGTAAGAGCCCTTTTTCAAAAAAAGAGTTAAAAAATTATTTGAAAGGAATACACATGCACACCGATTTCCCATCCACTGGCTTACTTATAAGCATTCTACTACTGGGAGGGCGGGACTGGGCCAGGTTGAAGCTGGGAGCTAAGGACCTCAGTCTAGTTCTCCCCTGTGTTTCAGTTCTCAACCAAACATGAGGCATCACCTGTTACTTCCCAGGGAGTATATTAGCAGCC